ATGAAAAACCTGAGTGACAGTAGCCGCTTTCATCCCACTCTTCCTGCCTTTCCTGTATTTATGATGATTATGTCGTAATGTGTCCAGCATGAGAAATTTTATGCTCCAAAATCACTTGGGTATCTCCTTCTTACCCTGATTATGACCATGTTAGATTCACCTTCAGAGATTTTCAGGTTGGATTCCATACAGTAGCGCCATATGTGAGTAAAGAGGAACGGGTCCATATGCTTCGAATGATGGGAGTAGACTGCTCGGAAATCGAACAAATGATGAAGTCTAAAAGGAAGCAGAAGGTTCATCTCTAATCAGTTTGCGCCCTTTTTTCTATTGATGTGACCTGTTTAGGCTGCTGCTGATCGTCAAGCCGCCTGGGATGAAGCCCAAGCGGAGAAGTTGGCAGAAGGGGCTCAAGAGCAAGTAGAGGAAGATACATCAAATCTATCCGTGAAAGATGAAGAAAGTAAAAACGGTGGCGGAGATGTTGCTTCTTAGGTGATTCTACTGTGATGTGTACTACATTTTATGGCGCGTTATGCAGTCTCTTCTGCACAAGTTGTTAATTTGTTGGTGATTGAAAGGTTGCTGTTTTTGACTGACTATTTACTTGATGTTTTACTGCGCTATTGACTGTTGAATAATGGTTGAAAAATGTTGTTGAACGTCATTGTTAATTACGTGCACGTCTGCTCGAATAAAGTTTTCGTTTTGCTGATTGTTATTGTTTACTACGATTTCAAGTTCGATGAGTACTTTTCAACTTGTCAAAAGTCGTTTCGAGTGAAAAATATTTTGCCGTTATCTGACTCGCCGTGGCGGAACTACTGGGGTGACTAATGCGATAAGAGTTGTGACTAAACTAGACTAATCTTCCAATTTTGCAATTGCTGTTCACCCAAGTGGCTGCATTACAAATAGAGCGTCTGCAGATTTATTTCATTGTTTTGAATTGTGTCGTGAAATTGGTATTGACGCATCGCGACCGCGTTGCTCGACTTCCATACAATGCGGCTGCGTTTGGGCCCATGGCGACGAATAGTTGAATGTGACTTTAGGCTTGTCTGATTTACGCAGTGTGAATGTCTCGTGCTTACGAAATCTTTTTCACATGCGTGGAACCCTGTTCTTGTTCTTTTTCCAGGAATGCGAAGGGAATTGTTAGGGTGTGGCTTATCGGAGGATGGCCAACTTGGTCTTGGCAGTCGAAGTGCAGCTTGTGTTAAACTACCAGAACAGATAGGTTTGTCTCATCAAGGTCCCTAAATATTATCTCATCAGTTTGATTTGTTCTTCTTTTCAAGCTAATTTCAGTCGGTGCACCCCTTTGCGCTAATGGAACAGCTGTAACTAGCGTTGCATGTGGCGAGAAGCACACATTGTTACTGGCTGATGACGGTAAAATGTGGAGTGTAGGCGGCAATGAAGCTGGTCAGCTTGGCCGAGGTGGTCGAGGTCCTGGAAGCTTCACAATATACCCAGTTTCATTCAGTGGAGGAGTGGAAATGATACAGGTACAAAACATTTAGACTTCGCGACGACGCGCGTCGGTGCGCTGTAACGCGCCAACTCCAAACAATAGACGCGAAAGCAGCCGCAGCCGGGAATCGATGGCCGTTAGTGCTCTGGGAGAGGATAGAGGGATAGGGAACTACCAGATTGTGTGAAAGCAGCCGTCCCCTCCTATTATCCTATACTGTCTCAAAGCGAAGCGGCCAGTGCCGATCGATTCGATGCTGCGGCCGCTTTCATGTCTATACCTTTTGAATGCTCTTGCGGTGGTAGCGCGTCGACGCGCGTTACAGTGCCTTACACAGCGTTATAGTTCTCTCCGGGTCGTTTATTTTTTTTGTGATTTGGCACCTTAATCTGTATTTTACTGCAGATAGCAGCAGGTCGTGCTCATTCCTTAGCTGTTGCCGAAGATGGCCGTCTATTCGCGTGGGGTAGCAACGAACACGGACAACTCGCCATGCCGCGCCATATACCTTGGATGGAGACACCGAAGTTCGTTTCTGTGGAGAACATTGCTACTAAATCGAAAACAGTGCTCAGTTGCGTCCTGTTCGCGGCGGATGAAAGGGCGTGTCAGGCGGTATGGGTTTGGCGCGGCCCCAAAGCCATTCTTCACCAGTTGTTGAAGCGTGTTAGCGACAATAACTGGTGGAAAAGGACTGATATGAGCGATATGATACTGTCTCGTCGCTTGCTCTCTTCAACAGCCGGTGAAAAATGAGTTTGGCACCGCGCCCCGCCTGATACGCCCCTTTATCTGCAGCGAACAAGACTGTACACAGTCATGACAACTTCTCACTGCTTTCGCTTCCAGTAGTGTTTGGCAGCTATGAATAGTCGTGAAGTGACCTGGTGGGTCACAGGTAGCAGTCGTGTTGAGAAGTGAAAGTTCATAGGATGAAGATAAGAGCAATTGCTACAGGGCATTACTTACTCTTTCCACCTTTCAGGCGGATAGCAGAGCTAACGGAGGTCGTTCAAGTTGCCTGTGGACCACATCATTGTATAGCACTGCTAGAGAGTTCGTAAAGGTTTCACTCACTCACCTTGGTTGATCTATGTTTTAAATTGAAGCTTGAACTTATTTTGGATCCGTTTCTTTTATTTGATAGCGAGAATATTTGTTGTTTCCAATTTAGATGGTGTAGTAGCCGTATGGGGTGAGCAGTCAGATGGAGCCATTTTACACTCACCTCAAATTGTCAATCAACTAACGGGTATTCCAATTGTCAGAGGTAGGCGGAGAAAACGGCATTTGAAAGCTCGAAGTCTTCCCGAAATATCGATTTCAGTAGCCGCTGGCGGTCGGCATTGTGTAGCTGTATCAGCTGGTGGTGGAGTTTACGTATGGGGTCACAACGAGTATGGTCAGCTCGGTACAGGAGATACACTGCGTGAGTTACGGTGCTTGATTGATTTGTCTCCTCATGTAAGACGACTTACTGCATTCACTATCCGTCTTCAGCTTAACAGAAGCAAGAGTCCAAAGTCTTTTTCGCTGCGAATGAAGAGATGCATATGTTTGGTGCGGGGAAAACCCTCCTTTGGTTGTTGAAGCGGGGTAAGTGAAAGTGGGAAATGACCAATCGAACGATAAGAGCGTTATCGCTTTCTCGCATCAATTGTTAGAGGAGAAGGGCTTGGCGCTGCGCAGACTCATCTCGTCGACACGCCCCTTCATCCGCAGTGAACAAGACCACATGAATTGCTGAAAGCCGAAATTGGGGCTTTCTTGGGTCCAGATTGTGTTTACGATAAAGGGAAGCACTTTATTGCTTTAAGATTAACTTGTCCGTTTTTTAATCACCCTATGTATAAGTTTTTGGATGGAGAGCTTCACGGCCGTTCTATAACGCCTACAGCACCGTTGTGTGAAACACACTAAGGGGGTCGTAACTGTCTGTGTGAGGGGGAAGGATTGGTAGGGGGAGGGTCGTATGTGATTTTGAGAGAAATTTGTGCGTTGGTTTTCCGTTGTTGACTTTTGCGTGATTTTTCCTGCTCCATGTGCACTAAATACCCCCTCCCCCCTCCCCCTTCCCTCGACAGCAGAATTTTAGAGAAAAAATAGAATTTTTAAGAAATGTGGTAGGAAGTTGGTGAAATTCTCCCTTTTCACAGTGACTATATACCCCTCCCCCCCACCGCTCCCCCGTTCGACGGAGAATTTTTGGGTGAAAAAATTGGAAAATGGGGTAATTTCTAGGTAGGTGTTGAGGAAGGGGGGGGGAGAGGGAGGGTCGTACCAAGACCCTCATTTAGGGGGGGGGGTCGTGCACACACCACTCACACATCACGATGCTGTACCCTGTCTCTCACTCGACGGTGAAGCGAATAGTGCTTCCGCTCCTGAGAAGCATATTGTGATTCGGAATCGCTGACGGTCTAGGGTGCACAGTAGATGAATAGATGAGCGGGATAAAAGCAGCAATTATTTATTTTTCTATTTTTGTTTTTCGCGGCTTTTTGCTATAATGTAAATTATATCACGAATATTTAGCTCGTTCGGCTCCGTTTTTACTTGGAAGGAATGAGCTCGATGCATATCATTGAGGCCTATTGTGGCGATTCTCACACGCTGTTACTCTCACAGGAAGGACGATTGTTCGCTTTTGGTTCAGATGCTCAAGGGCAGATTCGGAGGAGGAAGGAAGTGAGATTAGTTTCATCATAGCCAATTGCCACTGGCTGTTCATTAAATAGTGAAGGAATAGAATGGTATGCTAAGATTTACAAACTCGTAGATTCAAGGGGAAGAATCAGGCGGATTCGATATATCTCTTATTTCACATATAAGATCGGAAAAGTGTACCGAAATAAAAAGTCCTAATGTGTGGAGAGAGATCGGGGAATTTTTTCTCTTCACAGACACATCCAGTATTCTTTCGCACCATTCCAGACTACTTAACGGGAAAATTCAGCCAATCATGAATTTGAATTCCTTACACATTGACATTGAACCGCAGTTTTTTTGTATTTCCATTCTACTCTAAAGTTCATTTACAGATTTGACAAGCATACTAATCCATCGGCAGTAACAGAATTAATGGGAAGTACAGTGACACGAGTGGCATGTGGACGGTGGAGTTTTGATTTTAGAAAAATTTCTAACTTCCACTTGCGAGCTGTGGCAGGTATCATTTTGTTCCTCTCTGTAAAGCTGCTTTAAGACGGGACATTGCGTAAACATGGGACGCATTTTTCGGAAAGCGATTTGTCAGTTACGGAGGGGTGCAGGGTAGGAGGGAGTGGCGCCTGCGAAGTTCTGGAGTTGTGGAACGATGCTAGTGCATCAGCTGGTCTTCGCAGGTTCTTGTATAGACGAATGCATATTCAAAAGTGACCGCGATCCTGGCCGGGACCAGAGTGCGTGGCGCATCCTTCACGTTAATTGGTTAACCTCGGAAGCTCTTAACTTTCAACATTTATCGGCCGATCATCTGCTAATTGCTGAGTTACTCTTTGGATAGTTCTGTAAAGGGGCGCAGTTCGGCGAC